AATCTTGCAGTAACCCTCAACTGTCGACCCTCCTGCCCATCCTTCGTCGACCTTCTCTTGTTGTTCTTACGACATTTGCAGTTTTTTGGTTAGACTATTTTCATGGCAGCACTCTCACCTTCGACTGAACCTGCTCCGAATGTGGGCAAACCCTCCTATCCTACAGTGGTTGACAAAAATAGTGCTCCTTTCCAACTCTGAGATACTTTAGTTTTTCCGCAGATGTATCATAATTCATTTGTTAAACAGAGAAATTGTAACTTCATTAAAAAAAACATGACAAAAGGTGGGCATACCGACATTAATTTTTTCTAACACTGAAATTTCAACCCTTGCTGAAAATTATAAATTTACTTTAATTGAAAAGTTCCAAATAGGCTACCCTAAAATGGAGACTCTCATAAAAGTATTTAAAGATTTCAAGTTAGTTGGGGACTAGAAGGTGGGCCTCTTTGATGGAAGACATGTTGTGATAGAGCCTAGTAAAGAAAAATACTATGCAAGAATATTCTCAAAGAAATACATCTTAATTGAGGGCAAATATATGAAATTGCTTAAATGGTCCCCTAACTTTGATCCCAGTCAAGAACCTGGTTCTCATTCCAAGAACCTCATTGTGTCTATATGGTTTAAATTATATGGACTCAAGCTTCACTTCTTTAACCATCAAGTACTGTATGCTATTGGGGTTATTCTTGGAAAACCTATGAAGTTAAAACACAAAGGTTACTGGCAAGGCCTTCTATTGTAAGGATTTTAATAAAGAGGGATATTACACTTTCAGATGTAGAAGAAATATGGCTTGGCGCTGCTCACAATGGTTACTGGCAACAAATCATTATGGAACAAAGACCTTACTACTGCAATCATTGTGAAATATTTGACCACACACATGATAAATGCTTCATATTACACTCGAAGTTGAAACCTAATATTGCAATACATCTAGATATAGATAATCCTATGGATGAACAATATGCAAAGGAACTATCCATTCATGAAAATGGTATTTCCGACAGCATAGTTTTAGAACAAAACGCAAAGGAATCCTTGATTCCTCAACATGTGAATTCTACTAGTAGAATCAAATAGGCAACTTTAGATCCTGCAACTTTATTAGAACCAGTTGGTACAAATGTTAACCAGACAGATGAGTTGTTTGTTGTCCCCAATCCTCACAATGGAAGAATTTCTACACAACCTGATATTGCTCCTAGTGAACCTGATGAGAACCCACTAATGAGAACCCACTTTTATGCAAACCTATTGAGACCTCTAATCCCTCTCATTTTGTTGTGTTTTTTATGCAAACTTATTGAGACCTCTAATCCCTCTCATTTTGTTGTGTTGGAAGTTCACCATAATGAGTTGGCACCACTTAATGCTGTTGGGAAAGGTGCTCATGCATTGGAGGAATGCCAAGATCAACGTGCGCTCTCCACTGAAATTCCAATATACGGTCAGCTACATCAACAAGTGAAAGATGAATGGCAAATTAATAAATCCAAGAAGAAGAAAAAAGAAATGTCTCACCTCTAGAATCTACAAGATGATAGTTTGATTGTCTCAGGCAGAAGCCCCCTTCATAGTTTGTTGTTAGACTTCATTCCTAAAACTAAGGGGAGAGGGAGAGGCAAATCCTCCCATCACGATTGATAGTTTTGCTTTGCTTTTGAGAAATTTGCCTAGGTTACTTTTTTGGGGTATACTTGTACTTTTTGGTTACCTTTTCCTCGAGTCATGTATGTCTTGTAAGTGGGCTCCTAGCACGCACTCACTAAAACCTTTGTATCCTCTTTTTCATTAATGAAATTTCTATTTTGATGGAAATATATATAAATGTATATATAATAGTCAAAATAAAAAAAAATTAGAGAATGGGAAAAATGAGAAATAAATTAAAAAATAATAATAATTTATTTATTAGGCGAAATTGGTATTATAATTCTCCCCACATAAAATTTTAGTCTCAAAAAATTTTTAACAATCATTCAAAAGAGTAGAGGAATTTCTATTTCATTTTTCATTATTTTTCCTAAGTTGCATCTTTAGCTGACATATATTTCTTTCTTACCTTAATGCACGAGATTTGTCTATTTATCAATTTTTTAACATGGAAGTTTAGAATTGTTTTAGGTTTTTCAATGTAAGACAAATCTCTCTGCACCTCACATTCCTATATAGGATCTTCTGATCTAAGGCAGTGAACAATTTTCTCAGCATTGACATTATTGTAAATGAACCAATGCACCTGACGGACAACTCGAACATGACTCAATTAAGACTCGATCATGTTCATTCAAATTAGTAATAAAAGCTTGAACAATTTTTCAAAGCTCGAAGTTTAAATGAACTAAATATGAACATAGTGAAACTTGTTCTTTATGTTCACGAACAAACTCGTTTGTAGTTTAATAATTAACTTGTTAAATACTCAATATTAAGCTTGATGATAACGTGTATCATATATGATATATTATTACATGAAATTTAAATAACTAAATCGTCAACTCATTTGTTGATAGCTCGTTGATAGATTATATCATATATGATATATAAATACTCGATATTAAGTTGATGTAGGTTTTAAAGTTGTCGTAATTTTTAATTGTTCGGAAGGATTTGACAATGGAGGAGATGAGATTTGACAATGATGTAGCTTATAAAATGACAATGGAGGAGATGAGATATAAATTGCAATCTTGTCTCTTGATTTTGCCAAAGAAAATAACAAATAGGATATAAACCTCTGCTAATCTTAATTCCTGCTACCAAACAGCACGTAAATGAGGGATTTAAGACAAAGAAGATAACAAATACTGCAATTTTGTCTCTTGATTTTGCCAAAGAAGATAACAAATAGGATATAAACCTCCGCTAATCTTAATTCCTGCTACCAAACAGCACCTAAATGAGGGATTTAAGACAAAGAAGATAACAAATAGGATTTAAGTTCCTGTAGGTTTTAAAGTTGTGATTTCTAGTTTGGTAGGATTTAGGTTATATCATGCTTAAATGCTACACAAATCATTTTACTAAACGACCCCTAAGTGAGAGCTTTAGGACAAAATGGAGGAGAAATGAGATTTAAGATATTGTAGGGTTTCAAATTTATAATCAATAAATTAGTAGCTACAATCATATTTGTAAATAATTTATTAAATTTTTTATAAGAAAATCTAGATACTCGTTTGAGTTTTTAGTTTGTTTAAATACTCGTTCATTTGTCATAAACAAATCAAGTTCAAATATTGAAAATTTTAAACAAAAAGCTTGAACAATATATGAAAGTTGGACACAAACTCAAGTCGCACATGAACTTATAATATACTAAGCCAAGTCCGAACTATGATATACTAGGCTCGACTCGGCCCGATTACAGCACTAATTGACATAAAAAATATTATGGATGTTGAACATATCAATTAACAATACTTGCCTATAAACTATCTTACTAATCCTTTCAATGATGTCAAATGGTACTATAATTTGAGAGTTAACTTGCTTCACTAGACAAATATGTTTGTCTCTATTATAGGTTTAACTTCCAAAAATATAAAATCTCCAATATAAAAGTCTACTAATCTATCTCAAGTCATAATATTTTCGCTAATGGTCTTGAGTACCTTTCAAGTTGCTTCTGATCAACCTAAATTTTTTCTATAACTTCATCAACTAACTCTAGATTCATCTCTAGATTCAACTATTGACTTTCTCCCACTTTAACATAGCTTAATAGAACTTCACTCTTTCGACCATATAGTGCATCATTAGGATGTGGTTTTTCCGGCTGCCTTCAAAATCTATAACACAACCTCAACAAATCCTACAATTTTTTAATTATCCATTAGTTTGTGGATGAAATGTTGATCTGAGATGTAACTGTGTTCAAACCTTAATGAATATTTTTCCACAATGTAAAAGCAAATCTTCTAATCCTAACTGAAAAAACAACCTTTGAAACACCGTGCAAACTAAAAAAATTTTTAACGTATAGTATAGTCAACTTGTCAACTGACTCAGTCTGCTTAATTGGCAAGAAGTAAGGTAACTTAGTCAATATGTAAATAAACATCTAAATACTATCATGGCCTAGCCTGAATTTAAAAAATACTGTGATGAAATTCATTTTAATTTCTTTTCAATTTCACTTAGGTATAAAAAAGGACTATTACAATCCACGAGGTATCTATTACAAGCTTGGTTAGTACCACCATGATAGATAAAAATCAAAACCCAGCTTCGAGTGGTAAAAGCCCAGTATTTTATTCTCTATTAGTAATCTTTACAATCTAGGATTTTATCATAAATTCTACCAAGTTAATAAATGATAATTACCAAACCCGTCATAAGGTGATACCTAATAATTTGGAAAACTCAACATAGTTTTCAAGATGTAAGAAAATAGCTATTTTTCTTTACAAACATCATCTACGTATTTTATTAAATTTAATATACATGCTAATATAAGCTTCACAAATATGTTGAAGTTTAGTAATTACCGAACAACTAATCAGTCTGGAATGTATGGCAATTCCGCAGGTAGTCATTTACATACAATAAATCAGAAAGGTACAATTGCACATAACTTCGATACAAATTTACGCATTCTCTTCAATTTTTTTTAAAGTTTTCTCATCAATGTTTCAAAAATGGTATAACCAGAATAGTAATTGTTAAATATTGTTTTCAAAGAATCAACAATTCTGTCAGCAGATTAGATAATAGCAAAAACAATCATTGTTTTATTAGCGGCAGTGACAATTGCCACAAGAATTTCACCTAGACTTACAACTGACCTTATCAAACCTAGTAATTATCATTAAGTGTTAAAAAATAGATAAGGTCCGCAACATAAAAAAGAATAAAACTTAAACATGATTGACCAGTAAGGGAAAATTATTATGCACCTAGAATTAAATATCCTAAATAATATTGATGGATCATAGCCCCAATACAACAAATGCTAAATAGAACTGGAAGTAAGGTAAATTGCTAACCTCTGTACTTCCATATAAATTTAAGATGGTGGTTTGGGGTAAATGATCACGCAAGTCTCTCCACAAAGATATGGGTAAAACTTCCCCGCTAAAGATCAATACTTTCAATGAGTTGAAAAACTGCGCACACAGTGAAATATCAAAAGAAAGAAAAAGCTCCCTCAATAGAGATGGAACAGTAGTAAGCCTGGAAATGCCATATGCCTGAAAAAAATCAAATTCAACATAAGATAAGCCATGAGATGGAACTTATAAATGGCAACATATAAATGAGCTATTATTGCAATTTAAGAAATTCGCAAGTTATCATAAATGACACGTTAAGCAATCTTGTGCCTATTTTAAGCCTCTGTAAAATGGAGGCTATGGGACAAAACTATATTTCTGAAATGGCACCATTGAGTCATTCAACAGAATCCACCCAAGCAATAGTACAAATGTTGCAAGCACACATTCTTCATAAATCTCAGTTTGACAAATCAATTGATGTTCAAATGTCTCAGATTAGAAGAGCAATATGCGGTGAGAATGTTCATATGTCACGCTGAAAGATGCGAGAAAAAAATTAGAATTGAGTATCTTCTCAATTTCCACAACATTGAGATACATACAAAGTTAAATCATTTATTACAGAAAATAATTAAATCAGCAACCCTCAATGCTGCCCATAATGCAGTGAATTTCAGAGACTAAGGTTTGTTTGGGACATCTGCAGATTATTTATAATCTGCTTATAAGCAGATTACCATAATGCAGTGAATTTCAGAGACTAAGATTTGTTTGGGACATCTGCAGATTATTTATAATCTGTTTATAAGCAGATTATCCTGATAATCTGATAATCTGCAGATTATCAGGATAAGCTAACAGTTTATTTGTGAGAGCTTATTCAGAACAGCTTATTTGCAGTTGTTTCTAGATAAATAATCATTCAGCCTCTGTTTAGTAATGTTGTTTGCAACAAAACTGTCTGGGCAAATAATAGATAAAACAGAAGTCGCAGACCATTACAAATCAGTTCAAAAAAATAAGATAGAATCCTCATTTTCTCGTGAGTATCAAAAGAAATAAAATAAAGAGAAAAATAATTACAATTACAATTAAAAATATTAAAATGTTTAATTTAAAACTCTGACGACGTCTGTCCTCAGCTGCATTGCCCTCCTGGGAAACCATCGTACCCCAATAACTGTCGGCAGTGGAATTTGCCGAAATGTTGGCCCAACGAAAGAAACCAAATCGCGTTGAAACGCCCCTGCGATAACCGTAGAACTGTCTCTCATTGTTGTAAGGTTGACGTGACGTGAGTAAGGAAGTCTGTAATCCGCAGTAACACAACACACCTCGGGAGGTCCCAGAAATCCTAGAGCTCATGTTGCCACAGAAATAAAAAATCAGAGAAATCATTTGTCAAATCAGAAAACTAAATTAAGTTCTCAATATCTATAAGAGAAATTGAATTAAACAAAAACCGTATGGAACTAAAAAGCATAAATAAAAAAAAATGTGAGTGTGCGGTCTCAGACAACAAACTACACCAACCCATGTGTCTTTCACTACAAGCAGACAGTGGACCTTGAAAAAAATGAGTTCTTGGTTACCCACAGGGGACAATCATCCTGTGATACATGTGTCTATCACCAAAAAAAAGTCATCCAATAGATACTCATATACCGATGGTCTTTAACCCACAGGGGACAATCATCCTGTAATACATGTGTCTATCACCAAAAAAAGTCATCCAATAGATACTCATATACCGATGCATTGAAAAGAAAAGATGACCTAAGTTGCCTTCATTAGAACTTCACACGCATTTCCAACAGAATATGATCGTCATGTGACAGATGTGCATATCACCTAAAAAGGTCATCCACATAAATCCTCATAATCTGATGCACCAAACAAAGAAGACAGGATATCGATTGCCTTCATTACGAATTCACATGCAACACTAAATAACAGCAATGAAGCAGTCATCCAAAAGAAATCGTAAGGTCATATTTTTCATCATTCATCACTGACCTCACACACCCACAAAAACAGAAAATGCGAAATTGAACCGACCCTCAAGTTTTTTTTGTACCAAACACATCACTATTATATATTCAAAAGTTTAAATGAAACAAAAGAAATACATAACAAAATCATAAGCTCCAAATTCACAATACAACAAAGAACATACAAAAAAAGACATAGTCAATCAACAACCACAGATTGCTCCCTCAAAGCAGTCATCTCGGTCACACCTTCGCCGTCTTGAGTGTCAAATTCATTCGACTCTATCTCATCTTTAGGTAAAGAATGCTCAACCAGAAATTATAAAGTTTCTGGAGAGATATGCTTTTGATTGTTGTCAGTCATATTGAAGTCTGTATCTGATCGAAAGGGATGTCGGATGAAGTTGTGAAGTGTCATAGTGGCCAAAACAATATGTATTTGTTTGGGAAATGGATACGGTGGCATGTCGCGTAGGATGGTTTATTTCTTCTTTCAAACCCCAAATATTCTTTCAATAACCCCGCGTAAGGAAGTGTGGTTTTTTTTAACACTTTTTTTCTACCACGGGCGGTATCACTTGATCTCTCAAAATCAAGAACATGGTATATGGTGTTTGGATAGGGCTTCAGATAGCCCCTCTGCATCGGATATCTAGCATCAATCAAATAATATTTCTCTATTATGAAATGAACTATTAATCATAAAACATACATATAACTAATTGGTTTACATAACAAACCTAGAGGCGTGTAAGGGAAACACTACGTTATATTCTTAATTGCATAGGCAAAAACACGATTGTCATATGCAGTCCCTTCTCATCCCATCATCGCAAATGTGAATAACATGTTGAAGTCATATATTGTCATAACATTTTGTGTAGTTGATCCACTCCGGCCACTGTACGCGACATTTTCGTGGCCGGGTAGTCAGGCATCAACATTTGTACTGTTGATTGCCCCAAAGCAGATCTGCTTAGCATCGTTAGCAACAAATTCTATTCTGAGGTGAACGTAACCCAATAATGAAACTGACCTTGAAATATGGGATCGTAGGCAACTTGTTCAGGAGTAGTAACAAACGATGGATCCTCTGGCTTAATGATGTGCGACCCTAAGCTAACAAGTGCTTACAGACCTTTGGAGAAGTATCGGCTAATTGTTTCTGAGGAATGCTAAAATCGCTTCATAGCTCCTCTAATTGATTCGTTCTGAGATAGCATGTATAATGTTATGGCCAACACCTCGGTAGTTGTCGTTCTAGAAGACCCTTGTAGACTGTTGTTAAGACATAACTCGTGAAGGAAATCCAAAAAAATGGGTACAGTCATGCGAAAAATATTGTTGAATCTTATCGGATGTCTAGCAAGCATCTCACCCACCCATTTATCCCCAACAAAGGAGGACGTCATGCGTGGTATTCTAACAGTGGTGGAGCGGCAGTACTCCAAGAACAAAATCACAATCATCGCAGCCCATGTCATTCTTCTACGAGGCTCTTTCTGTCGATCCATCCTGAAGAAATAAGTTGTTAGGATATAATAAAGTGCGGAAAAGTAATAGCAACAATATAAAAGGAGAAAAAAATCAAGGACTTCATAACACGCTACATAATTACATATAACTGTTCATGAAAATAAATAAAAACGTTGAAAATTAATTGCAAATAGATTACTCAAACATGAACATATACAACAACAGTCATTCATCAACCAAAACACCTAAATATTCGAAAAACAGTCCGGGCCGCAGGGCCATGAATATTTGTCTCTAGGTTGGGTTCTCAAGCTTTTTAGCATATTTTGCATGAAAACTTCTATCAGCAACTACTTCTGGAAGAGCATCCAAAGCTACAATAAAATCTAGGATGGTGTCGTCAAGTGGAGCAACAGGTGGCGGAGCTGCAAAAACATCCATCAGTTTATCTATTGAGCTTTCACGAAAATGTCCTGATCTTTCCTCCTTTTTCCCAAGCTTGAGCCTTTTGGACTGGGAACTGGACTCCTTAATCTCCTTTTGGTTAGTGTTAGGTCCTTCATCGTAAGTTGTAAACTGCTCAGATGGCAAGTCATCCGGTATGTCTGCAAACCCCAACTCACTTGGGTTGAATGTATGCTTTCCCGTCACGATAACCCTTTAAACATTACATCTAATTTATCTTGAAACTCCGGGTCAATTTCACAATGCTTATATTTTTTGGCTGCCAGTATTTCCTGTAAGTTCGGGGGGGGAGGGTTAAGGGGCATATTAGTTAAGCCAAAAAAAACATTATAATAAGCCAACGGAGAGTATAATTATTACCTATAATTTCTCAACCCACCATTCCTCTGAAGCATCAATGATTCGCTTAATGGGATCTCAACCCAGCCCAGTGGATCCCCGTTTATGCTCCTTTCATATCTCCTTCTTCAATTGATTTCATTTGTTTTTTTAATTTCAGTCTATCGTAATCTTTTCCCGTCAATTTTTTGAACCTCTTCGCATTATTTGCCAAACTTGTTGAAATATGTCGTTGTCTTTCCGAGCTCAATTTATTTAATACACAGATTACAAAAAATATTTGTTACTTTCTTGTCCCACATTGCCGACGTACCCGCTTCATTCGTGTTAGACATGTAACAAAATGAAGATATTATAGAAAAACAAATAAATATCAAATAAAAACAAGATCTTATTATATCATTATACAAATAAGTTGAAAAAATTAGAAGTACATACAAAAAAATCAGACAATAATGACAAAAAAAAACAACACACCTAAAAGCAGGAGAGCACACCGAAGCCAACCTAAACACCACTCATAGTAACTGAACGAAAACAATCCTCACATCCACCACAAAACCCACACACCCAAAAGCAAGAGAGCACACCCAAGTCCACCAATAACACCTCACATAGACACCACACTCAAGCAAACCTCAAATTGACCACCAAATGCACACACACAATACGAACACTGATTATTTCTGATTTATGTAGTAACTATTCTTTGTAACATGTTAAGTATAGTACAAACCTTATCTCAGCATGAATTTTGATGCATGTTGAACATAATAAGTAAATTAACCAATTGATAGATTAGTAACTATTGCCACCATAAATTTTGATGCATCAACAGGTGAATATTAAAGTTTGTCTAAGCATCTTGAACATAATAAGCAAATTAAAAACCCAAGAGGCTTCCAAGCCAACTCAAACACTCCTCACATACACCACTCCTCATATTAAAGTTTGCCAAACACTCCTCATATTAAAGTTTGTCTAAGCTTGTATATTAAAGTTTGTCAAACACTCCTCATATTAAAGTTTGTCTAAGCTTGTTGCACATCCAAGCCAACTCAAACACTCCTCACATCCGCCACAAAACCCCACACCCAAAGGCGAGAGAGCATGTGTATTACCTACTACATAAGAATAGAAGCCAATTGTATTACCAATGCCTTCAAAAACATATAAGTTCACTTAGATATTCTAATGTGTGGCCTTATCCTTCCACACTTAGGATTGCCTAGGAATTCCCTCTACTAATCACAACAACACAACCAGTGCAGTAGTGCAATAATAAGTAATATAGCATTGAATGCAAAGGAGATGTCATCATCATTGTAATCATGCCAAGTTAAAAGAACTTCGAAATTCAACAAATATATGAATACACTAAGTTAAAAGAATAGCATTTCTCACGCAGAGAAACCAAGGCCAAAGCCACAAGAGAAATGAAGGCCAAAGCCAGGTACAAACAGAGAAACCACACCCATTTTGCCACAGCCAGTAACAAACACAGAGAAACCAAGGCCAAAACCTCCAGAGTAAGCAAGCCCAGCTGCCCCATCTACCAACACACATAGAGCAACATGGCTTCTATTTAGCATTTTTCACGCAGAGAAACCAAGGCCAAAGCCATAAGAGAAATTAAGGCCAAAGCCAACTACAAACAAAGAAATCACAACCATTTTGCCACCGCCAATAACACATACAAAGAAACGAAGGCCAAAGCTACCAGAGAAACCAAAACCCAGCTGTCTCATCCGTCAACACACAGATAAACCAAGGCCAAATCCACCAGAGAAAGCAAGCCCAGCTGCCCCATCCACCAACACACACAGAGAAACCAATGCCCAACTGCCCCATCGCAAACATACACAAAGAAACCAAAGCCCAGATGCCCCATCCGCCAATAGACAGATAAACCAAGCCCCTGTTGCCCCATCCGCCGACACACACAGAGGAAGTTCTCATAGAAGGGCAAATTCCACATAGGAACCTCTGAAATCCATCAATTTCCAAAATATAGCACCAAAAAATTCTACCCGTAAGAGACTCTAGATGAAAAATCACCAGAACAAAACACCACCAAATAAATATTGGATAAAAAACCGTCGCATGAAAACCATTCCTTCAAATAGAGCATAACAAAGTTTTGACATCAACAGAGGAGAGATTCCAAACCCGAAAAGGCCTCTAGATTGAAAATCACCAAAATAAAGGTGACGAGTTTACTTACAGAGCATCAGAAGCACAGATTGGAGATAAGATGAGGATGAAGGCAAAGGTATAGAGAAATGAGAAGAATCAAAGAGAGTAGGGACTTCCGCACGAGACAAGCGCAGAGGAAAAAAATCGAGGCAAAAGGGCAACAGTAGAAATACGCATTCACTATAAGTGGGACGCAACCTCGAGACTCAAAGAGAGTAGGGACTTCCGCACGAGACGAGCGCAGAGGAAAAAATCGGGGCAAAAGGGCAACAGGAGAAATACGCATTCACTATAAGTGGGACGCAACCTCCTTACCGCGTCCACGGTTAATAGGAAACTGTGGGCGGTGTTTTCAAAATGCCGCCCACACACATAAGCTGCCCCAAACGCAACCTAAGAAGCAAACATAATTCTTTAAACTCGTAAGTAGGCAAAAAAAGATGTGCATTAATTCTTTTCTTCAGTTATTGGAATATGGAGCCCTAAGTCAATTTGGTGCAAAAGGAAAGTATATGTTGTTTATGAATTGTAGAAGTTGTGGTGATCAGTTGGGAGAAAGTGGATGTTGCTAAGGTGGGAAAGCGGGCACTTAATGTGAGATGGCTGAGAGGTGACGCTTGTGTGGGCTCATTTGTGGGACATGGGTTGTGGCCAATGTTTATTCTGAATGTGATTAGGGAGGCGGGATGTAGAAAGGTAGGAGGAGATTGGATGGTTAAGGCTTTGGGGAAGGCATCCATATATGGAGGGGAATGTGTGGGAAAGGTAATGATGTGCAGTTTAAATTTAGAATGTGCTAAGAGGACCAAAACTAAATTAAGTGCTAGTAGTCTTGAAGGAGTGGTAATGAAGGCCACCAGAAAGCTCCTTGTTAAGTTTTTGGTGGCAAATGAGAAAGATGGCCTGTGAAAGATTAAACTAGAAGGCGCAGAAGGGATGTGATGGAGATAAGATTACAACAAAATCAAACAACACCAAAGGAACAAGTCAGTAATGTAAAGTAATGAACATGAAGGCCACCAAGCTTCCAACATTAAGATTAAGCCACCAAGCAAGATCCACAAATAGATGAAATTCCCTCGATTTAATTTAGCAATGATTCCACCTAAACAAAAATTTAAAATATTTTAAAACCCTTGCTACATTCAAATTTCAAACAAAATAAAGAAGGGAAAGGAGAGGGGACAGCGTTTCCAAGTAATAGAAGAAATGTAAAGTATGAATGTCTGAATTTAAAAAGATTGTAAAGTTGTCGGTTAATTACTTTTTGAACATAAATTGACCTCCACGTGGCCATTCCTGGCAAGAGACATCCGAGGATGGACATGTTTTGCATAGTCCTTTGTATCAAAAGTTCAATTGGAGTTGGATGCAAGAGGTATTCCGTCTACAAGCCAACGCATGTACACCTTGATGTGCCTTTATCATCTATATAAGGCCAGCAACATTTACATGAAGCATGCATCAATCCTAAACTCTAACAAATTAATTTAATAATTCAATTCTATAATAATAACTTAAGAAAATAAATATTACAATAATTAAATTTCATGCAAATATGCAAAATAAGCCAAGGTCATGTGGTGCATCATTGGAACTCCTACTTATTAACCAAAATCATAGATTGCCATATTACTTGGATATAAACATAAACAGAAGTATGGAAGAATGCATGAATCATCAAACAGAAGGATCCACATGAAGATCATATAAACCATTGAATGATATATGGGAAATTTTGGAAGTTGGAAGACAGCAAATCTAATATAAAATCTAAGATAAGTCTACACCTTAACAAAATCAATAGCATATTCAGGATATTTCAGCTTTTGATAGGTAGGAATAACAAGCAAAGCACCCGCCATAATAGCACCAAGGAACTCCTGAAGATGGTCAACAAAGCTGATAGACGTCTTGAACAACAGAACATCCTCCCGGGATATCGGATACTGATCTTGCATCCACCAATATCTGTTAAGAAGACCTAAAAATGTAAATAAACCTCAGTTGAGAAATCATCGGAGGAATAAAAAAATTCAATCAAAAGTGGTTCAAAATTTGTACTTTGTTAAGAAAATTATGTAAATATTTTTAAAAAAGTACATTTGAAGTATAAGATACAACAGATAAATTTTTTCCTGCTCTCATGCTAAGGATTCAGCCATGTAAGCCCTCAACATTCCAATTATGACAAAGATGTGCAACTCACCTGACGCGAGGCTTGGGGCTTATTGGCTGAACCGGCCAATAGATTCAGTGAGGGAGTGCCTCGGTTCAGCCAGAAGCTTCACCCGCCCCTCCCCCGCCCCCACGAGGC